GAGAACATTGATGATTTTTTTTAATTAAACTAAATTAATGAAGGACGGGAGAATGAGCATTGAATTGCCGAAATTAAGGAACATACATTTTTTTTTAGCTGATATTAGACATATTCATAATTATTTGGTATAGAGTCAGTAATAATACTAATAAATTAGTATTCGACCTGTGCATTTGCTCAAATATAAATAAAGTACTGTGAGTTATTTGTGTGCATATAATGATTAATGATTTTTCTTGCACTTTTTTGCAGGCCAAATTTACAATTAAAAGAGTTAGAATATTTATTTTTTTTAAATTGTGTTTATCATATTGGATGTAATGTATATTTTGGTATGTATTTTTTTATGTGAATTATTTATTATTTATTTAGGAATTTCAAATACATTTTTTATTTTTCAAAAGAAGATAATTTAAATGTAACCACAACAATAACATCTAATCAACGTTAAATAGTCAATACATTATATGGTCAACTGTAAGTAAATCAAAACTTTAGAATAATTTTTGTAATTTTGAAGTGATTAGTGTGTTGATTATATAATAATTAAATGAGAGGTTAAATAAATAAAAAGTAACGGTTTTTGGAGGGAAAAAGTTATATTGCCACATAGGTATAATTTAATAGGTTTTATTAAATGCTCATGAGCCAGCAATTATATATATAGATATAATTGAGTTGTGTTTGTGCAATCTATATATATATAATTGCTAGCTAAGCAATAAATTTTACCTAATAAATAAAATCTAATAAATTTTACCTATGTGGCAAATCATTAATAAAACCTAATAAATAGAACCTAATAAATTTTATTTATGTGGCATTAATACACCCAATCTCATTAATAAAAAAATATTTCATTACATTTTTTGGGTTAATTAAGACAAAAACCATTATATTTTATGTTAATTGATTAATAGTTATATTTTCTATTGAATAATATAATAGTTAATATTAAAATTAGTAATTATATTTTATACTAAATTATATATGAAAGTTACATAAAATTATATTTTACACTAAAATCAATATTTTTTTATATGATGAAGATGTTGTTTATTAATAAATTAATTTTTTTTTATGTCATAGTAAAATTTCTTAAAATCACATAAGCAATTGTTATAATAAATGTAATATTTTTCAGCTAATTAATTGGTCATGATCACTCAAAATTATAAAAAATATATATTTATTACATTTTACGCAATCAATATAGTGATTCGTATACAATCAGATCGTGTGTATTATTTATTTTAACCAATGATCAAATTTTAAAATATAATACTATTATATAATTTATAATTTTAATATTATATACATAAATATAATTTATAATACTATATGTTTGAAATATAATATAATTATATAACTTATAATTTTTATATTATATACATAAATATAACTTATAATATTTAATTTTATTTACATCTGTGCAAATGCACAAGGTCGAATACTAGTTTTTTTTCAAATTATAGAGTACGCAAATGAGCCAATATAAGTATAACTCCGTGCGTGGGACACAATTTCAAGAAAATTGTTTGATCGAAATCGGGCCTGTTGCATAGGCTTTCCACCTACCAACTAAATTTGTTAAATTTATGGATATTGTATTATAGCAATTAGAGATATAATCGAGTCGAGTCGAGCATAGACCTTGTCAAGCATAGATCGATTTTGTTTTTCATTGCTCGAGCTCGAGCTTGAGCAGGACGAGCCATGAAAATGACACTCGAGGTTGACTCATGAAACAAATGGAAATGCTCGAGATCGACTCGTTGCTCGAAATTGGTTCGATGCTCGAGATTGACTCGAGTTTGGCTCGAATTTTAACAGCTATAAAAAATAGAGGTGAGCATAGGTCGGTATGGTTCGGAGATTGAGAAATCTCTGGAACCGTACCAAAATTCGGAGATCACTAAATTTGATCTCCGGAACCGTACCAAAAAATTGGGACGGTTCAGTTCGGAGATTTTTATTTTTCAATTCGGTTCGGTTCTGTATTCGAGACTATCAGAACGGTTCGATTCAATATGGTTCGGTTCGGACCTTTGGAGATTTCTAATTTTTTAAAATTTTTTTGAATGACAACCTAGTTATATTTTAATTTTTATATGCTTTAAAAAAACAACATTCATCATTGAATACTTCATCATATCCAAGATTTTATTTTGAAATCAACTTTAGAAGTAACTTTAAATTTTAGTTAAGACTAAATTTGTGCAACTAATATTGAAAATTTAAAATTCAAACAAAATATAATATAGTTTTTTCTTAAAAACATATTCTTTAACCTTTCATACCATTTTAAATAATAATTTTATAACAACAAAATTTAATTGTAGATAAAGTATTACTAAGCATGAAATTTAAGTGAAGCTTAATTGTTATTACTATATTTTATTTGCATTTTAAAAATTCTCAAATTATATAGGATCAAAGTTGACATAAAATATATTAATAACACACATCTAATATTATAATTCGGTTCTTCGATTCGGTACGATATGAGACGGTTCAGTTCGGTTCTCGGTACAGATATTTGTGAAATCTTCAGAACCATACCAATTATTTTTTCGGTTTCGAGAAAGTCAAACAGTCAACGGCTATTTTTCGATTCGGTTTTTGGAATGGTTCGAAATTCTCCGACTCTCATGCTCAGTCCTAATAAAATATGCACCTATGACAATTTTATGAATAATATATATATAAAGGGTATTTAAGTATTTTATCGCATATTTTGAGTCGCTCGACAAGTGGTTTGACCTTTGAAAATTTGGGCTTGAGATTGACTCGATAACATATTCAAGCCGCTCGAGCTTGACTCGAGTTCAGTCAAACTCGAGCTCGAGTCGAGCTCTCACGAGCGAGCTCTCGCGAGCGGCTCGTGAGTCGCTCGACTCGTTTGCAGTCCTAGTAGCAACTACTAAGATAAATATTCCTCTAATTGAATTGTAGTGCTCTAATTAAATTGAATAAGTCCGAGATTAAGCATTGAATTGGTATTTGTTTATATTAGAACATTGTTCGTACTTGTTCATTTTTATTTGTGCAAAAAATCTGTTCGAGCTCATTTGTTTAATTATTCATTAAAATCTGAGCTCGTTCGTGTTTGAATAATTTCGTGAACAAACTTTTTAAATTTTTTTAATTAATTTGAGATCTGTTTGTTCGAGTTTGAAAAAAAAAAAGAATTATATTTTAGGTTTTTTTGGTAAAATTCTCATACATATAAATATAAAATAAAATTATATGAATTTAATGTTCACGAACATTAACAAACGTTTTATATGAATTTAATGTTCACGAACATTAACAAACGTTAGTGAATGAGTTCGTGTTGGTTTGGCTACTATACAAATATAATTTTTTTGTTCAAATTTGACTCAATTAACGTACGAACGAATTCTTGTTGAACACGAACAAATTTTTGCTCGCTAAAATTCAATTCGTTAACAACCATGTCTATCTCACTAGATATGGGTAAGCAAACGCACCCTAGGGGCAAAATTGAAAAATCACCTCATATCATTTTACTGTCGTATTTGACTTTTATAATCACTTTAGGTGAACTCTATGGGCATTTACGTCTTCCAACAAATACGACCCGCTGAAAATTAATGAAACATCAGCAATCTCCAAGTTTATCTATCTATTCATTGATACAGAGACTTTTGGGTCAATGCCAATTTGGTCAATCCCCACTCACTATTTTATGTGCGGGGCTCCACAATAATTTATGTGCATATAGTTGACTTTCGTTAATAATATATTGATGATAACTTTAGTTTGTTTATTCACTATTTTTTTTTATTTTAAAAATGAATATAAAAATAAAATATTTAATATACGTTATACTATTTAAAATTATAAGTTAGATGAGGAACATCACATTTTATAAATTTTATTATTAATAAAATACAATATAAATATAAACTATTTAATTTACATATAAATCATTATATCGATTGCAATAATATATTTTTTACAATTTTGATTGATTATGACCAAGTAATTAGATGAAAAAATTTTGAAATTATTATTATAGCAATTATGCATGAAATTTTAACTTGTTAGATTATGCCACAAAAAATAACTAATTAATATTATATAGAAAAATCTTAATGAGCAGATAAAAAATAATTTTAAACAAATAATTTGAAAAAAATTAGATAACAGAACTTTTTATTTGTATACAATTTTGATACATGTGATTTATGATTAGTTAATAGTAATCATTATATAATAAAAAATATAATTATTTGAATACAAAATGTAAAAACAAATTAGTTGCTAGATTATTCTATTTTAGAGTTTATAGCAGCCAAGCTAACAGAACAACTATTGTATCAATGGGGGCAAACACCCTACTAGGCTACTACAAATGTACAGTTGACTCTTAATTTTCCAAGTCAATCGTTCTAGAATATAATAACTTGTACAATTTTGTTATGAACCCAAAAATTGGCTTCACTACCTTCTATATACAACAAGTAAACATATCATATTCTCTGATTACTTAAATAACATTAATATAATTTTATTAATATGACAAATTTATTTGCTGTATATAGAAAGTTGGCTCCACTATGGAGCCAACTGTTGGCTTCATAGCAAAACTGATAACTTCTATATACTAATTTATTTTCAAAGCTGCTTACACAATATAATCTCCCATTATTCAACTTTAACTAGTTTTTGCCCCGTGCATTTGCACGGAAAATTATATGATGCATGAACAAATAATAAAAATTATAAACAATAGTAAAAATCATAACAAATTCATTGAAAAAAATTAAGAAAAAAAAATATAAATATTCTTAAACACTTCTTTATAAAACAACGTCGTTGTTTTCTATCTTCAAAATCTCCCTCAGCTCAAATCAAAATCTTCAAACCCCACTAACTCGTAACTCTAAAAAGCGCCACGTATAATTGCTCATGACTAAATGCAGAGCTCTTCAGTAGTAAACCGACGTGCGACAGAGACTGTCTTTGACTCTTATTGATCATGTCATAGCATAGGAAACACTTCTTTATATTGTTTGTCCTTGACTCTTATTGATTGATAGAGATTGTCCTTGCTTCTTAATAAAAAAAGTACCATCTAAATATAAATGAGTAAATATAATATTAATTTTTAATATAAACAAATAAATTAAAGTAATTGATAATGAGTATAGAATTACCCTTGCGGATTCAAGTTATTTCAACGATGTTCTTTTTATATATCTAAGATTTAATTTTTTTTTCTGATTTATATGAATATAAGCACATTTGACTAATTTTTATAAAATTTATTGAAAAAAGTTACTATTTTTTTGAAAAACTGATAAGATATTAAGATAATATTGTACTTAACATAAATGTGGGATTAATTAAAATAAATCTTTTTAATTTAGTCATTAACTAATTAAATTTAACTATAAAAAACCTTCTTAAATGTGAGATTAATGAGTAATTAATTAAAAAAAATGTAACTCTTTTTGGAGGGAAAGTGAAAATATTTTTATTAAATGTTTTATTAAATGAGATTAGTTAGCAATTATATATATATAGATTGGCAAATAATTAGAACCACCGTTACACGATTCATTAATTTATTTTAGCAAAACCAGCTTGTGATTCCACAGTTTCCCACCCACCCAACATCTTATTCAACGCATTCGCCACCAAAATCCCAAAATAACCGTTGACCATTAGTGACAATTACACCATCATTAAGAAACAAGATACCAATAATCAAAATTCAAAAACCCTAAATGGAAAATTAGAAATCAATAATAATAATAACAAAAATACCCACGAAGAATCCCTTATTTAACCCCTACCCCGCTTTTCAATTCCCAAATCCCACACTCACTCTGCCACAGCCATGGCCCGACCGACACCGCTCCCCCTCCTCCTCCGCGCGGCGGCGGCGCTCCTCCTCCTGCTAACGTGCGCATCGCCGGCCGTCTCACTCCCCCCTTGCCCACCCTGTGGCTCCTCCCCCGTCCCCTACCCCCTCAGCACCGGCCCCACTTGCGGCGACCCAGCCTACCGGATCCGCTGCTCCGCCGCCGCTCTCCTCTTCGACTCCTCCAACAACACCTACCCGATCACCTCCATCTCCGCCGCCGATCAGCGACTCACGGTGGCGCCGGCGCCGTTCCTCCCGGACGCCTGCGTCGCCGCCGACCTACCGACGAACGGGCTCCAGCTGGATCCCGCCGCCCCCTTCAACATCACCGGGGCCAACACCATCCTCTACCTCAACTGTACCGCCGCCATCCTCAACTCGCCCCTCAACTGCACCGCCACCAGCCTCTGCCACGCCTACGCCAACGCCACCGCCGGCGCGTGCCGATCCACGCCGTGCTGCGCGTTCAGGGCTGGCGGGTCGACGACGGCGTACAGGATCCGGGTCAGGCAGGCTGGGTGCCGGGCCTACCGCAGCTTCGTGGGCCTGGACCCCGGGTTGCCCGTGGACCGGTGGCCGCGGCCCGGCGTGGAGCTACAGTGGGCCCTGCCCGCGGAGCCCACCTGCGGGGGGCAGGGAGACTGCGGGCCGGATTCAACCTGTCGGCCCGACCCGAACTCGAACCGCAGGGTTAGGAGGTGCTTTTGCCACTCGGGGTTGAGGTGGGACCCTGTTGCCGGAGTCTGCGTTACAGGTCAGTTTTTCTTCTTTCTCTTTTTTTCTTCCACTGCAACTTGCAAGTTTTATGATAATAATTGGGGCCATGTGATTAGATTAAAATCTTTTAATTTACAATTTTTCCATGTAACGGCAAAAAATTCATCTATATTCAGCATAAAATTAACATTTATTTATTAGCAAATTTTATGATTTAAAAATTAATTTTTTTTGTTTACTTAATACTAATATTCATTAATTTAACTTGATGCTGATATGGATACTTGAATACGCAGAATGCCAAAATCGAAATGGGTGTGACAAAGACCGAACTGCACTTATTGCAGGTATTTTTCTACTTTTAAATAATGCTTTATTATTTTATGACGCTTATTATAAGTTTGTCTTTTTTTTTGACGAGTTTTGATCACCTAACTTCAGGTTTTTCATTCTAATTGCTGCATAAATGGAATTCGCTAATGGTTTTTATTCTTTTAATCAATGGTCTAATTAAATAGTTAACAAAGGAATTTTGCAAAATGTCGTCTTCTCAACATACATAACGTCACATTTTTTTACAACATAATGGCTTTAGATAGCACCAAAGTAATGATGCGTAAAAACTATAAAATGTTACAGTAAAAATTATGAAATGTTACTATAGACAATAGGTAACACAATATTGACGTTACAGTAAAGGTCAAAGGTAATACTTTTGGTAGTTTTTGATAACACTTATATGATATTTTTGCTAATTTTTGGTAACACTTATATTAAAAGTATTACAATAATATGATACATAAACCAATAATTGTAAAGTATTACAAATATTATCAAATTTCCCTAAATGACAACTTTCAAATTTAGTCCCTTTTCCATCTGAATTAATATGACAACATTAGTTTTGATAATATTTGTAGTGAAAAAACAATTCAGATCTCAAGAGTGTGTTTGTATATGAAAATACTCAATGCACACTCAATTCATACTCAAAATCTAACTTAACTTTAACATAACTCCACTATTCTCAATATTATCAATATAATTAAATAATACCAATTAATCATTCTTACATATCACATCTAATTTTAATTTGCTATTCATCCACTCACATAATTATAACTAACCATCACTTCACACCATTTCTCTCATACTTTTATATCAAATCAACTTTAATTATTTTATTTTAAATATTATTTTTATATAAAATCAAAATTTTACTAACAACTAATTATATAGTTTTTTTTAAAATTAACTTTAATTAATAACAAAACTCATTTTGAGCAGATATATTTGTATACGAACACGCCCCAAGTTTGCGGGTCGATTATTTCATTTCAAAAGAGAAATAATAGTTTCACATAATAATTTGGAGAATCACTAGAGTTTCGTTGACAGAATGATTTCGTCAGTATTTGTTACCATAAATATCTATACTACATAATTTAAGTGTGTATCCAACGATGAAAAATACTGACGAGACATCCTGTAACGAGATTATAGTCATCCCCAATAATTTGTACGTGTGAATACAATTGGCGAGACCATTTAAATAATAAAATATTATAATTAACCCTACTTACATTTGCACACGGACAAAATTATCCACATTTCAAAATATAAGGAAAATATATATCCTCTCAGCCCAAAGGCAAAGTATCCTTATCTTTTTGTCTTTGCTCAGGACATTCAAACAATAAAGCGTGGACAGTCGAATTTCATTAAATTTTTATAACTACCAACTACAACTTATACTTTTTTCCCTAACATAACTCAGTAGCATGATTTCTTGAACTTTTCAGATAATTTTTTGTGATTAGTTTAATGAAAAACCATATATGGCATAATTGTGAAAATGATATAACCCGTTTTAGACATTCATTTTTCAATGTCTTTTTAAATAATATTAATAATTGACTAAATGAAACATATATACTTTTCACATATTGGTCCATCATGTCCTCATATTTCGTATTTCGTTATGTTGGATGAATGTATGAATGGAACTGTCGTATATACCAATATACGCAGGTCTGACCTCCGGCCTCGGCGCAACACTCATATCAACCCTCATCGCATTCCTCGCCTACAAACGCCACCGACGCATCCGCGACGAGAAGAACCGCATCGCCCGCGAGCGCCAGCTCATCCTCAACTCCGGCGGCGCCACCGCCAAACTCTTCACCGGCAAACAAATCAAACGTGCTACCAACAACTTCTCCCGCGACAACCTCCTCGGCTCCGGCGGCTACGGCGAGGTCTACCGCGCCATCCTCCTCCTCGACGACCCCACCACCACCACCACCACCACCACAACAGTCGCCGTCAAGTGCGCCAAGCTCGGCAACCCCAAGGGCACCGACCAGCTCCTGAACGAGGTCCGCATACTCTGCCAGGTCAACCACCGCAGCCTCGTCCGCCTCCTCGGCTGCTGCGTCGAGCTCGACCAGCCCCTTCTTGTCTACGAGTACATCCCCAATGGTGCCCTCTCGGACCACCTCACGAACCCCACCCGCCGCGGGCTCCTCTCCTGGACCCGCCGCTTGAGCATTGCGCGGGACACGGCCGACGGGCTCGCATACCTCCACTCGTCCGCGGTCCCGCAGATCTACCACCGGGACGTGAAGTCGAGCAATATCCTACTCGACGAGAAGCTCAACGGGAAGGTCTCGGATTTCGGGCTGTCCAGGCTGGCGCAGGCGGACGTGAGCCACGTCACGACGTGCGCGCAGGGGACGCTCGGGTACCTCGACCCGGAATATTACCGCAACTACCAGTTAACGGATAAGAGCGACGTGTACAGCTTCGGGGTGGTTTTGTTGGAACTCTTGACGGCCCAGAGGGCGATAGATTTCTGCAGGGAACCGGACGATGTGAACTTGGCGATGTACGTGAGGAGGCTGGTGGACGAGGAGAGGGTCATGGAGGCAATTGACCCGGGGCTGAGGGAAGGGGCAGGGGAGCTCCAGGTGGAGACGATGAAGGCGCTGGCATTCCTGGCGGTGGGGTGCCTGGAGGAGAAGCGGCAGAACAGGCCGTCTATGAAGGAGGTGGCGGAGGAAATCGACTACATTATAAGCGTCGCCAATTCGAATAATTGACCACCGAGTAGGTTTGGTCTTTGTTGTGAGTGTATGTGGTTGTGTTTGTGTTTTTTTTTTCGGCTCATTTCTCCTTGTGTTTTCTCGTGTTTAGCTAGGGGTACTCGGTTAGTCGGTTTCGCAAGGGTTACATGATGTTTTCTTCGTGTTTGGGCTTGTTAATACAAATGCCAAGAATTAACACTGGTTTTGAAGAGAACATTTTCATTGGGAAAGTGTAGTCTGCAAGCATGACTGTGATATATAGATTTTTTTTAGAGGCGATCGATGTTATTGTTTAAAAAAGCTATAAACTAATGGGGGTGTATTCAATTCGGGGGTGTATTCAATTCGGAATTTAAGTGACATTTTAAGACTTTTTGAGATTTGAGACTTTCTAAGATTTTCAGATTTTGGAAGAATTCTATGAAATCTCAAGTCCGGAGGTAGGATTTGAAGTGAGATTTCATATAAGGTTTTTTGTTTAGAAATCCTACAAAATCTTAAAAAGTCTTAATAAATCCTAGTGTCAAAAAAATTAAATACCTCAGGATTTTGTAAGACTTTTGAAAATCCCAATTGAATACCCCAGGATTTTTAAAAGTTTTAAAAAGTCTTAACAAATCTAAATTGAATACACCAGGATTTCTAAAGTCTTAAAAAGTCCTTAAAAATCCTAATTAAATACACCCCCTTAACTTATTTGTTAAACATAACAACCACATCTAAATGTGTAAAGCCTACTAAATTCATACACCATGGCAACCACATCCAAATGTGTAAATGCCTACTAATTTCATACACCATGGTAAATACGTACACAGTACACCTGTACCTCAAACGGTAGCAGCTGCAGCAGATTAAACCCTGACTGGGTCCCGCACGTGGAGCGTACTCGTCTGCAACTGTAAGAAAAAATTAGTTTTGTACCGATTTAACGATTCTACTTTTCGTAAGTAGAAGACTTAGGAAATTCTCAAAACCTTAAAAAGGTGAATGAGAAATTAAAATCTAAGTGTTATATGTTAATTAATTGAGTTTAAATAACTCAAAGGTTATAGGGTTCACAAACATTCTGTTTTGGCAAATGTTTGGACGAACTAAACGAGCCATAACTATTTGTTTAGGTCTCTCCAAAATTCTTTGCCTCTAACGCAATCCTGCATTATTTATGCTAGAATTGTAGAAGGGCTCGTTGGGGACAAGTAGGAAAAAACAGAACTCGATTCCGAATCCGTATGAGCTCGTACGAGCCCGCAGCGCACGGGCGCGCAACTGGCTGCGGAAACCAAAAGGTCGCAACCCTTGGTGACTAAGAGGTGTCTTTTGGCTTATAGATGCATCCGTTCTCGTTTGGGTATGTCCCAAAAAGTGTCTTTTGACACTTAAACCTCTTGGAGATGTTTTCCTACATTTATAAATACCCACATAAATGAAACCATTCAGAACTTGAGAAGTGAAGAACTCTTGTATTATATTTTCAAAGTTTATAAAACATATTGTATTTTTATTTTTTCGTTGAGTCTTGAGAGTTCCAAACAATAGTAGTGTTCGCCGAAGGCTTGTATATTTGAAGTACCACTATATACAAGTTGAAAGTCGTTGTATCTTGGAGGCATTTACCGTCAATCGTGAGTATTTTATGGAACAATTTCATTTTAAGGAGAACGTAATTATTACGTGCCTCGACTTTGATTTTGTTTCTATTTCTTCATTCTGCTTAAGCCGTCTTTTTTATATTCATTTTATATTCACAAATCACACATAACCGTTGCACAGCTCGCTTTTCCTCTTCACTTCTCTCTGCTTCTACTTCGCTCATCTGAACTTCCCTTTCTCTATCTAAGGAGAGGAGGTAACCTGAAAACACCATTACTCCATTATCATTCAAGTAATCGCGACTGTATCTTTATTCTGAGTATGCGCTGATGCACAAGTACGTATCCTCGAATTTGAAACTGCGATTTTTTCAACATTAATCGCATTTTTTTCCTGAATTTGGCAGGCATCCTTTGCTCGATTCACTTTGTGTGTGTGCGTTTGAGCACGAAAGTGAATCTGTTCATCATATAACGCTTTTTAATTTACGTTCTTAGATCTGCAAGCGGGAAATTTTTTTTGCTCTCTCTCTCTTTTTCACGTCTCAGTAGTGTTTGATTATGTATCGCAGCCATGAATATGTGTTTGAAAACATCTGTACGCACACACACACACGAACACACGCACTCGCATACAGAAGCGGTTTAGTGTAATTTATGTATTTTTGCTTGTGATTGAAGCTTGAAACAGAGCAAATTGGGAAATACGTTTCTAGATTTTCACACTTCTGGTGTGCGAAGCTTCATTAAGTGATTTCGAGCATTATTACAGAAAGCATCTGTGCTTTCTGATTGCGTCTTTTTACTTGGCGGTTATGGGACTCGGATCTTGGGCAATCACTGATGGATTAGAAGGTAGGGAGTCTTTATTTCATTTTCAGTATTTGGTATCTTAATTAGGTTCACAAATGAAATTGAAGATACATTTGCATATTATGTCACTTGAGATGATATGATATACATGATGAGTCATCGTATGTGTTTATTGCTTGTACGTCGAAGCCGATTATCTTGGAAAACCGGAGCAACACTTTATAACTCTCATCTGCAACATTTTAGATTTCATCATCAAACACCATATAATGTGCATGCAGAGTGCAGACTGATTGATCTAATAAACGAAATAATAATGTCTAGCCCGCATATTATTCAGTTCAAGCTCTTCAAGATCTGTACCGAGCCTTAAACAAACCAACTAAACTGCTGCAATGAAAATCAGAGAGTGGGGACCCTTGTGGAGAAACTTGGTTTGCGGTTGACTGATCCGGCTCATCCGTAACCCAGTAAAGCTTACTATCCACAGGAATATGTATTAGCAAAATCTATTGCAGAAAAACCCAGTCATTTCTCAAAAGTACATGTTAAGAGGGCATTAGCATCTCTGGAGGATAAATGGAGTTTTTGCAATTAGGCTAAACCTCATATGTAATCTTTGTAATTAGATGCTTTATGTATTCCTTTTTCAGGAATCTTCATGGGCTGGGACTCACTGGAAATCTTGGAGTTCAGCTTTCCAATTTAAACAGCCTGAAGAATCTGTAAGAAATTTAAGGGGAAGAAACTGGTCCAAAACTCTAGCCTAATAACTAAATAGCCCCGGTTATTTTAAAAAGTTACGTATCTCTAGCATTTGTAACTATGAGAGATAACGGGGGTATGCAGTAATTAGTCAGGGGTTGATTTTGCAACTACCCGTTAGTTAATTCCGTGTTCTTGATTTAATAATATGTGAGGCAAGTCCCTTATAACTACTTTGTAAACGTTCCTTCTTTTTATTAGGGAGCTTAGTGCAAATAACATTGATGGCTAAATCCCCTACAGTTTACCTCCTAATCTCACAAATTTGTAAGATGATACTCACACTTAGCTTCAGTGATCTTAGCAACTAATGCAAACAACACATGGTTAGACTTTAAACATTTCAATAAATGCAGAAACTTAGCCGAGAACAAGTTCAGTCAAAGCTTTCCATACTCGTTGGACAAGATGAAAAATCTCCAGCATCTATAAGAATAACTTTCTATTTTCATAGAAATTTATGTTCATGATCCTAGACTTAGGACACACTCCTTAATCAGTTGTCTTTCATTTTATTCCTCTTATTCTATGTCCTATTGTTCTCATTGCAAGAACCTGAGTCACAACTTAAGATGGGCCCTTGGGTGATGTGTTTAATGGCCTTCATGATTTGAAACAAATATATGGTATTTTCAATTCTGTTATGAGTAGGTACAAATGTGAAAATCAAGATGATAAAATTTAGTTTATTTATATAAATGCAATTTCCTTTTCGTCAGGGATTTGTCGTTCAATAACTTCACGGTGATCTTCCCAGCTCCTTCAGTCTTTGACAAACCTCACACAATTGTGAGTTAATTTCTTCAGTTCCTCTGAGTAATCCTCCTTATATGTAACTGTTGTACAAATGCAGAAGCAAACTTTCAGGTTTTTGCAGAATAACCAGTTTAGTGGACCAGTGATTTTACTTGCCAATCTTTCACGATCCTACCTGTATGTGACCAATAAAAACTTTTAAGACCTTGTTTCCATCCATATTAGCCATTCATGCGCTCATCTGGTCGTCCATTTTGCAGGAATATCGAAGATAGCCATTTCAGTGGAGTTATTCCAGGAAACTTTCAAACAATAGAAATCTTGTGTGGTATGCCTTAAAGTCCATGTCTGTTAAAAAAAAAAAAATGAACATCAGCTTTGAATTGCATATAATTATCTTTTCATAAAGAGTTTTTGGTTACAAATTTCTGCCTTTTGACCTTTCAAAATTCAATACAACCTACGAAGGATTTCCATATTACTTTTACATTCAAATGGAACACTTTTGATAAATCACTTAATCTAAGGGAAGAAAAACTCCAGGATTGGAGGAAATAAGTTTCACATGGGACCAAACTACCACCCGCCATGGAGATTTCCCTCCGACAAAAATATTAGCAGCCCACCAGCTACAAACTTAAGTGCTTTAGAAATCTATCCGTTTCAGAAAATCAAAGATCACAAGAACAAGAAAATGCATAATACAGTGAGGATAGTTCTTTTGTTTATTGGTGGAGTAACTCTGGTTGCGGCAATTGTGGCCCTTGCTGTAATATTACACAAGCAGAGGGTTCGTACGAGCATATCGAGAAGTAAGGGGCGGTGAAGAGGAGTCAATGAGATCTCTATCTATCTGGAGGCAAGGTGAGACGTTACTTTCTTAAGGTAAACATGATCCCTAAATGTATAAGTATTTTGAAACTGTTGCGACATGTCTTGTGTGACATTATATATATGTTGTCATCTCGTGATACAAGAGTAGATTATTCATTATGAAAAATATCTTATGTATATTTGTCTACACTGTTAATGTTAATGTTAATGTACAAATGTTAATGTTAATGTACAGGAGTAGATTATATGCATGCACAGCGGCTCCACATGTCAGGGTTCGGGTTTCAATTCTATTATGAATATGAGCAGTAACCTCCTCGGAGATGGTCTGAAAAGTTCTTCTGTTTTGACCTCTAACCTCCTCAATACATGTACTTATGTAATATCATTTAAATATGGACATTGTTAGAACATGGAAGAGGAGAAATGTAGAAAATTTAGAAAATTTGTTATATCATTCTTAGTAATTACTTCTTCACTCTTACATCTTGCAAATGACTTATATAGGATATTTATAAGTATAAGCATGCCCTTTAAGCTCCCCTAATAACTAAGATACATTTCATCTACACTTTACCTTCATGTCTTAATTTACTTATATTCATGCATTATGTAAATTCCTAGAACTTGACCACCTACATACATGGAGACTTTTAGGTTCTTCTAGATACATTAACTAATATTAATTTAGTTTAATAATATAACACTCCTTATACCAAATTCATCATCCCAAGAGAAAATCTCAAATTCTCGAACACGTCGAGCTTCAACGACTTCGTGAAGATATCCGCGACTTCATCTTGCGTATTCACGTATTCCAACTTTACTTCTTTCTTGGAGATACAATCTCGAATAAAATGGCACTTCGTATCAATATGCTTGCTACTTTCGTGAAATACCGGATTCTTCACCAATTGTATCGCCGAACTTATTATCAACACGAATTTCTCATCTTGGGGTGAGCTTACTACTTAGATGTTTTCAGCAGTTATCAGCTCCGCACTTATCATATTGCATAGGTACATTGGGCATCTTAATACTTCGTATCAATATGCTTGCTCCTTTCGTGAAATACCGAATTCTTCACCAATTGTATCTCCGACTTATTATCAACACAAGTTTCAACAAACTCCTTAACCAAATAGCGTGACAAACACATAACATACTTCGCTTCCCATAAAGAAAATAAATTCGTTAGTACCTTTTCGGCTATCAACGTCACCGACCTAGATGCTATCGCAATAGCCAACAAGCTTAAAATCTTAAGAAGCAATATAGAAAATTCCGTAATCAATTGTACCTTTGATATAGCGAAGAATTCTTTTCGCCACTTTCAAATGCGATGAAGTAGGAGACTCCATGTAACGACACACGAGACCAACTCCAAATACAATGTTCGGCATTGTACAAGTCAAGTACCTCAAATTTCCCACAAGACTTTTAAAATATGTGTTATTAATTTTTTCACCATCTTCATGCAAAGATATTTTTACTCCACATTCCACAGGGTACTCATGGTCTTGCAATTCTCCATCACGAATTTTTTTAGAATTTATTTTGAATAAGTTTCTTACGATATGAATATCCCATCGCCTCTTTGCTTCACCTCAATGCCAACGTCAACCCAATGTCCGTAATCTCAAATTCATTCTCCATAGCCCTCTTAAAGTCATCGAACATCGTCGGATTATTGCCTGTGAAAATCAAATCATCCACGTATAAGCACACAAGCAACATGTCGCCATTTTTGCTCCTTTTGACTTAAAGAGCGTATTCATGTGGGCATTTTTCAACACTATTTAGCCGAAAATATTGATCAATTAGACTATTCCATGCACGTGGAACTTGCTTCAAGCCGTAAAAAGTCTCTTCTTCTTGCCTTCTCACAACATATCCCCAATGGTTGATCGATACAGACTTCCTCCTCCAAAACTCCATACAGTTCTCAATTATATATCTAAATGGGTCACACACTTATGATGGAAAAAGGGGTGGCAAAAATTGCCTTTTAAGCGTTCAAGGATTTTACATCGGTTTTATGATCAACTGAATCATCTCTAGACGGGCAACCCGTGCGAAAACTTCATCATAATCATTTTTGGCCTTTTGCTTGTATTTTCGTGAATAATTTTGATTTTTTTTTTGTTTTATTCATTTCTCCTTGTGTTTTCTCCTTATGCAACTGAATCANTTTTTTTTTTGTTTTATTCATTTCTCCTTGTGTTTTCTCGTGTTTAGCTAGGGGTACTCGGTTAGTCGGTTTCGCATTGGTTACATAATGGTTTCTTCGTGTTTGGGCTTGTTAATAAAAATGCCAAGAATTAACACCGGTTTTGAAGAGAACATTTTTGCAATTTCCTGTCTGATCAAGTTTGAAATATCATGAAGTGGCAATTCACTTATTTCTTTCGATCCAGTTGCACCTTTCATCGGTCCCTTGGTCTTTGCAAAATTCACTGTCAGTGTTCCATTCTGTTTGCCCCTTTCCTCCCTTAAATTCTTGCACCAATCAGGAATCCATGCACTTTGAAGCAGGTCTGTGCAGTGTGACCAGATCCTTGGCAATAATCACATTTCAATTTTGCCTTTTCCTCATTTGTTAGCCTAGCCTATTATTTCCTCCTCCTTTCTGTTGAGCACTTGACAAATTATATACCATATTTTCCCCCTTTCCAATAGAGTTTGCATTAAAATTAGTCCTAGTAAACATAGCATATTATTCTCGGTTATCTGGAAACAAATGTTGCGCATGTCTTCGTTTTTTCACCCTATTGAGTAGGCTTTATTGACAGTTGGTAAAGGATCTAACAATAGGATCTGACTCATATCACTCTCATAACTATCATTCAATCCCATAAAAAATTGAAGTAACTTCCTATTTTCCTCAATTCTCACTACATGTTGAGATGCACCACAGTTGTAGGCAGGTAAAAGAACTAGAACCTGCTACTGTGTCACGACTGTGTTCCACGCCATCGCCATAAGTTATTGTTCCTTAATTTTTGTCCTTTTAATTTTCCTACTATGATACCATATGTTCAATGGCAGTACTCCAAACCAAAAACCATAACTATACATTGAAAGGAAAACAAGAAATCGAGATTGGAGAAGAAGACTCCCATTTTATTCTTCTGTTACAACGATCAGATTCTACACACTCACATATATATTCACTGAAAATAGAGTAAAAGCCTAATGTGCCTTTGAGAATTAGTTAGCTAATAACTAAACTGTCCAACTATATTATTAATACTGTAACACCTACAAGATATTTACCACTAAATAATTTTCAATTTAAATGCCCTCTGAGAACTAGTTAGCTAAATAATTCAGTTTAGATATTTACCACTATATATTCACTGGAAATTGAGTAAAAGACTAATGTGTCCCTGAGAACTAGTTAGCTAATAACTAAACTGTCTAACTATATTATTAAATACTGTAACACCTACAAGATATTTACCACAAAATGTTTCCCGTGCATCGTTGGCAAAGTTAGTGGTGATTGTTTATGGATTCAACTAATTTTTATTTAGTTTATTTTTTAATTATAATTAATTTTGAAAAAAAGGTAGTATAGTTAATTGTTAATGGATATTTTAAAATAATATTTAAATAAAATAATTAAATTTAATTTGATGTAAAGTAAGAAAAAAATGATTGAAAATGATGGTTAGTTAAAATTATGTTATGATTGATTGATATTATATAATTATATTGATAATATGGGAGATGATATGGTTAAGTTAAATTTGAATTTTGATTGAGTTTTTATACTATTAGAAACCATAAACAATGCCCCTTATTCTCCAAAATCCAGCTACGTAACGTAGGTAAGGTAAACCGCTGGCTTGGGATGGGCGAAATAGTCAAAATTTATCTCTGGCATCAGCAGAATTGCTTTGGCTCCCGCGCACACAGAAAAAAAGAATAATCACCCCGAACCAGATTTGGGGGTATATTATCACCATTGCAACTGCCAGGATTGGGTCGGATCGGATTACCCTTCAGGTTTGAATTTCCTTTAACTTTTTATCGAATTGGGTTGCATTTTTTAGTTAATTTTTTATAGTTTTATTTTTCATCTTTTGCGATTTCTTATATGGGTTTATCCCAGAATTATGTGATCTGCATATGCTGTTGGGATTGCTCTTGTATCATTTTGTTTGCTCTGCCATTGTGGACGCAATTTGTGATCTTGTTTCTGTAGTTGAGTTTCCTATGTTGCTGAATTTTGTTGATCTGGAGGATGGTTTGTTGATCTAAAGGCCTTTGATTTTCTTTGTGTTTTTTTTTTCATTTATTTATGTGTGTGGGTTTGGATTTTTCGAAGAGAGTTTTGAGTCTGATTGATGATGGGGTCATGGGATATAGTCTAAATGTGTCTGTTTTTATCGTGTTTGATTGAATCTGAAGATTTCCAGAATTGGCACATTGTTCGATTGTGGTTTTCATGGATTGTTATGTTAATACTTGCTTCTGGTTTTCTTTAATGTTATGAAATATGTCCTGATTTCATCACTTACAGATTTATAGCTGGAAAGTTCGTTTTAGTGTTATTGCCTGTAGCACATCCAATTGACCTCCATATGATATAGAGTTTATGGTGGCGAAATCGTGTGCTCTGCATTGTTATGTTGCAATATATACAATCCAGTTAAATTTGTTGAATACGAATTAGGACGAACATTTTACAAGAAAGAAGTTACGGCCGCTTATATGTTGGACATTTGTGATCAAATTAACTTCAAAAATAGTTTTTTCAACTTATTAGTTTTACCAGATACATGTGTGAAAACCTACAGTATTGTTTGATCCACTAAATTCACTTTATTTCATTTATCTCCATTAACGGTAACCCGTAACCATATTGGATAACATAAAATCAACTTGTAGGAAAAGCTTATAAACAATTTAATTGAAAGCAGGTGTAAATTCCCTCCTTCATGTTACCATTTACTTTTACAACTTACTAATGGGGTTTGATGTTAAGACTTCAGTTTCATTAAAGTGTCATGAACGCATTTCACGTATCTTGTCTCAGGATCCCGGTTGCGAGGCATTTAAACCATTTAATGAGTTTGTAGATAAATACTTTATTACGAGATCCACTCGTAATCCATAGAAAATAGGACCCACTGTCTTTTAATAAAAAAAGAGCACTAAGGTATGGTGGTGAGCATTAAAATTATTTGGCTTCGTCACTCTAATAAAAGTCCAACGTGTGGTTTAGCTGTAAATTTGGACGGATTATCCCGACTAGCCAACATCTCATTTATCATGTGATGCAAGATGTTCGATCCCCTCAACTAAGGTTTTAACGTTTTGTACCTTTTTTTCTTTTTCCACCTCCATATTATGAATTTGTTTCATATTTCCTACATGCAACTTTGTGTGCGTGTCAATTTATGGTGAATCGGTTAGGGAGAGCCAACAACTTCGATGAGAGAGCGACATTTATCATTACACTCCATTACAGATGTCAATTTATGGATATTCTTGAGCTGCATGGTCTTTCTTATTTTCGTGCATAAATAGGGATAGGCTCAAGGACTCTCAGTTGTATAGTTTTCTTTCAGGTTGTTGAGGTGATAAAGAAAAATAATTTGCTGTGAAGATGAAGGCACTAATTCTTGTTGGAGGTTTCGGTACCAGACTGAGGCCATTGACATTAAGTGTGCCAAAGCCACTCGTTGATTTTGCTAACAAGCCTATGATTTTGCATCAGGTGATGATGTTTTATGTGGCTTTAGTTAGCTTAGTATATCTTGAATAATATATCCCTTCTTCTAGGTAAGTTAATGATATGTGAAGCATACTCTGTTTATCAAAATATGTAAAGTCATAGTTTAGTCCCGGTTTTGGCCAAATTACATCTTGGTCTGCTCCTTTTAACCATTCTTTTTTCCTGCATGTTATTGTTTCTACCCCCCATCATAAACGATTCTTCAAAATTATCTTGGCAGTCCAGTTTCTAGCTTGATTATATAGATCAGAAGCTCGAAAACCTCTAGAAAAGTTTAAGTCATATTATATCTCAAATTAAAACTGAAAATCTGACTAAAACAAGTCCTTAGACATATTGCTTTACTGAATAATAATTATTTTTGCTCCAATGTGTGCATGGGTTTTATGAATTTTCTTTTCAACCATTGTATATGACACTGAATCAGATAGAAGCCCTCAAGGCTATTGGAGTAACCGAAGTTGTCTTGGCAATTAATTATCAGCCAGAGGTAAACTGCTGATTGCCTTTTTCTTCTTGCAAGTGTCTAAATAACTAAATATAGATTACTGGATATTGTTACCAGTAAAGGACCAATTTTACAGGTAATGCTGAATTTTTTGAAAGACTTTGAGACAAAACTTGAGATAAAGATTACATGTTCACAAGAGACTGAGCCTCTTGGAACCGCTGGCCCACTTGCTTTAGCAAGAGACAAATTAATAGATGATTCTGGCGAACCATTTTTCGTTCTTAACAGTGATGTTATCAGCGAATATCCACTGAAGGAGATGATTGAATTCCACAAATCTCATGGAGGTGAAGCTTCTATCATGGTAACCAAGGTAACATTACCATTTGCAATCTGTAGAATAAAAGAAATTACAGTACCTAATTTAATATTTCAAAATCCAGACCTTCTTGGCACGTGTCTCCATCTTTTTTAAAAAAATGAAATTTTTTTTTTCTGTGTAAGACCAACTCCAATCGAGCTGCAAACGCATAATGAGAGTGAATATTTTGCTCCAACCGAACTGCAATTTCAATCGCAAAATGCGTATAGGACCCTTTTCTCTCCCCAAAAAACGCATATATGCATTTAACTGTTCACTACTGCAAAAGTTTTTTGGCAACTCCATTTTGGTCCTTGTCTTTTTGCAATTTCATTTTGGTTCTTGTCTTTTAATATTTTTATATATGGCTATATAAATTTATTTTCTTTTATTTATTACATATTTTTTGACTTGTTTTTATGTCTAATATATTATTATATTGATTTAAAAATTTTATTATATTTTATTATGTTTTGAATTTGGAATAATAAATAATAGTGACAAGCTAAAAATAATAACTAAAAATATGACATGAAAATTGACAAAATAAAAAATCATATTGATATATATACACATACCAGAAGAGAATATAAAAAAATAGCTACGTAGCTAAAAAAACTTGATTTATTATGTATGCAAAAACTTTATTTATTATGTATAAAAATTCAATCTAATAATCATGAAAATAATATAAAATATTTTAAAAAAAAAATTATGTAAATATTTTCAAATACTTTAGATAGAATGTTATAAAAGGGATGGTAATTCCAAACAACGTGTTAATCAATTTAATAACTATGAAAATATTTTTATCATATTTTTCAAACATTTATTAATAGTGTAATTCATATTTCTTAAATATTTATTTGGATTTTTTATACATACGAGTTAATCAATATTTTTCTCGAATAGTGTAATTCATATTTCTTAAATATTTATTTGGATTTTTTATACATACGAGTTATTTATTAATAGTTATTTTCAATACATATGAATTAATTTTGTATACGTATGAATTATTTTTCAATAATTAATTATTTTGAAGTAACGGTTTTTTGATAATAAATTTCCAACAATTTAAAAAGATATATAATGATTTGTAGTAAAAAAAATATAATTATAACAAATATTAATATGGAAAATCTATAAATCATGAAACTAGTGCTGGAAATTAAAATTATAATACCATTTTTTTTTAAATAAAATACATCATAACCTATATAGTGTAGGCTTTTTACCCAATTTTATTATGTATATGAATTATAATTTTATAATTAATTGTACTACATGAATTCCAAATCAAATTTAAAATAATAGTGTGTTTAATTTGTAAAGTTGTAAAATATGTGGGTAGTATTGAAAAGTTGTAAAAGTTGATGTAAAAGAGAATATTCTGAAAATATTTTTTGGGATTGAGAATGGGTTTTTCGGTTGGAGATGAATTACTGTTTGGTGTGACAGTTACTGCAAAATAGGTTTGAGAATGAGTTTTTTGGTTGGAGATGGTCTAATTTGTGCAACAAATATAAACCTCGTTTTATGTACTTTTTTCCATGCTGTCCCTTACACATTTTGGTGATTTGGAAAGTAGATTGTGTGTGTGTGTGTGTGTGTTAAGCTAAATCTAAAGGGCAGCTTTTGTAATCATTGCTATATCAGAATTTTGAAGGGAAGTCTGAAAAATCGATTCTAACATAATCTAAAGACTTATTGTCAATCAATTAAGTTTTAAAATATTTTAACCATTTATAAGCAAAGACTCGTTTTGAGAAATCAATTTTGCGTATTCATATAGGTGGACGAGCCTTCCAAATACGGGGTCGTTGTCATGGACGAATCTACCGGGCAGGTCGAGAGGTTTGTCGAGAAGCCAAAGCTATTCGTGGGCAACAAAATCAACGCAGGCATTTACCTCCTCAACCCCTCGGTTCTCAACCGAATCGAGCTACGGCCCACATCAATCGAGAAAGAGGTTTTCCCGAACATAGCAGCCAATCAAAAACTGTACGCAATGGTGCTCCCGGGTTTCTGGATGGACATCGGGCAGCCAAGAGACTACATCACGGGCCTCAGGCTCTACTTGAACTCCTTGAGAAAGAAGTCGGCCCAGAAGTTATCCTCAGGGGCCCACATAATCGGAAATGTTTTGGTGGATGAGAGTGCGAAAATCGGGGACGGTTGCTTGATTGGGCCCGATGTTGCGATCGGGCCCGGTTGTGTGGTGGAGTCGGGCGTGAGGCTTTCCCGTTGCACGGTTATGCGAGGAGTTCGTATAAAGAAGCACGCGTGCATCTCGAGCAGTATTATTGGTTGGCACTCGACTGTGGGGCAGTGGGCCCGTGTGGAGAATATGACGATTCTTGGAGAGGATGTTCATGTTGGGGATGAAGTTTATAGTAATGGTGGGGTGGTTTTACCTCATAAGGAGATCAAGTCGAGCATCTTGAAGCCAGAGATAGTGATGTGAGGTTCATCGGTGAAT